TAGTCCGTGATATCCTGGACAGCTGGGCAGGCCCCCTACCACTATTATTCCTCCTTGCCCTCCTCCCGTGACTCTCCCACTAGCCCCCATTAGTGTTTGCGCTAGTGGTGCTAATATTTTACACCGTCTGGATCCCCGATCTCGACGGTGTCGTCCGCTCGCACCATCATTTATTTTTCTGCACTTGGCTCACGGCTTCCTCGAGACAACCCAAGTCCCCGCCACTTCCCTTGTACTAGTTTCGTTTTTTTTTTGTTCCGCCGGCAGTCCCACCGGCGCATGTCCCGTTTTCGATTTTTATTATTTAGGCCTTCTCGGTCCCCGACAACATCCCGGACGACGTACCATTTTTATAACTGGGACCCCCTCACCGTTGGGAGTTCCAGCACTCCTCCCTTAGGTGCTTCTCATGTGCCAAATTTTTTTCTTGGCTGCAAGATCTCATTTTGCGGTCGCCGCTTACCGTCCCCACTTACCCCATGCCGAAATCACATTTTTCTAGCCCTCCGGACTTGTCGTGGCTCATTTTCCCTTAGTCTAGGCATCCTTACATAGTCCGTTATTTTTCGGACCGCATCCTTGCTCCTTCCCCTAGTCCCATAGCCCTACAACTTGCCCCATACTAGAGAGAAATAAAGCCTAGACTCCCAAGTGCATTCGGACTCAATTTTGGCTCCGGATGCGTTTAGAATATGTGTTTCCCTTCCCTCATGCAGTCCGTTGCACCTCGGACTACAAGGGGGGCCAATTTCCCAGCCCCAATGCCCCACAACTAGCCCCTACTTGAAAAAAAAGAAAACGGTGAACTCCCGGATGCATCCGGACTTGGTTTTGGCTCCGAATGTATCCAAAAACATGTGTCCCTCCTCCCCTATGTAATCCGTTATTTTTCGGTTGCATGGGGCYTTGWTTTTYTTTGWTTTTCTCTRMAAAAAWMAAARAAAATCAAGGTCYTTTGCAACCGCCATATTCCAGGTTGATTCTGGTCACGGATGCACCTCCCCAAGTGGTCGTCTTTGGCTGTTAGTGCCCTTTTGTCTTTTCCTCTGTCTTTCCTTTTTTTTTTTTTTTTTTTCCCTCCATTTGTGGATAATAGGGACCTGCCAGTCCCTACTTGCTGCAGTCCCAACTGACAGCCAACTCACTCACTCCCTATCACCCATTTTGTCTTATTCTCCCTCATTTTTCTTTTTCTTTTCTTTTTCTTTTTGCATGCCAAGTGTCAACTAGCCGTTAAGGCCCTTTTCTAGGCCCTCCTTCTTAGTTTTGGCCCTTCCTCTCCTCATGGTGCAGTCCATTGTAGCCCGGACTGCAATTTTGGCCTTCTCGTGCCCACGGGAGCCTCCTTTTATTCCCATTTCTCTCCCGTAGTGACCTCCCTCACTCCGATTTACCCCGGGAGGCCTTATTTTCCCATGGGCTCTCTTTTAATTCAATTTTCTTGGGGGGGTTGATCCGAGATTTTTCGGATTGCTCCCATGCCTCCCACTTCAAGTTCCTTCACTTTTCTTTTTCCTTTCAGCCTCCTCGTTTGCTCCCACTAGTGCCCCTACTAGCGGAGCTAATATTCTTGGCCGTCAAGATCCTCGATCTTGACGGTACGCCTTGCTTTAATTATTTGCTCCTGACATCGCTCTTTATTTTTTTCTTGGGACATCACAAGTCCCTGCCACTTGTCTCACGCTGGTTCTTGGTATTTGTTCCGCCGTGGACCGCCGACTTTTGTCCCGACGGTGGTCCCCGACACCTAGTCTCGTCGGCGGTCCCCGACACTTAGCCCCGTCGGCGGTCCCCGACACTTAGTCCCGTCGGCGGTCCCCGACATTTAGTCCCGTCGGTGGTTCCCGACACTTAGTCCCGTCGGCGGTCCGCAACACTTAGTCCCGTCGGCGGTTCCCGACACTTAGCCCCGTCGGCGGTCCCCTTGGCCTCTGTTGTATCGAAATATAGTGCCCCGTCTGTCCTCAGGCTGCGCCTTTCCACGCCCGAGCCTCCGCGCTCGTTTTCCTGCCGCTGCTAGCTCTTTCCTGCGGTTCCCAACCCGGGGCGCTGTTGCTCTCGCCAGCTTAGTCCTTTGCTCTTTTCTCTTCCCGTTCCTCCTTATTCCCGATTTTTCTGTCGTGCACAAATTGGCTCTGCACAAGCTCTTTAGTGATGGGAAGTCATTCGAGACCCACCGGTCCCGACACCGTTGAGATCAGCTATGGTCGGGGAGTTCACCGTTGCTAGTGAACTTCTCGGAAGTTGAAGTTCTGGGGAAACGATTTCGGACAGTCTGCGAACTGAGAAAAAATTCGGACAATTAGGAAAAGGAAAAACACTCGGATTTTCGAAGAAAACGTGAAATTTTCGGAATTTCAACCTAAAATATTCCGTTTTTCGGAAGACCGAAATCCGCATTCGGAATTTCAACAATTAGGGGAAAAAACAAAATTCGCGAAAATTTCGGACCTCAACCCTAATTTTCCGCGATTTCGCAGAATTTCCAGTTTATGGTTCCAGAATAACGCGAATTTTCCCCCAATGCAGAAAACCAAAATTATCGCAATCTTAATCCAATACTGAATTAAAAAATAGAATTTTGCAACTTGAATCCTCGATAACAATGTGAAACGGTTTTCATCGTTTGCATTAGCAGATGCAGACCCTAGGGCTCGATCGCTAGCCCTTACCCTACCGGTGTACAATATTTGTGTCGATGCCAAGGCTTGAACCCACCGACCTGTGCATTTGTAACAGTTAGTAGACTGTCGTAGGGTCCGTAGGTAGCAGGGGTTCGATTTGTAGGTCTATAGAATAGAAGTCTTAGTGAGTTCCAGAAGTCTTAGTTGTAGTCCTTCTAGAAGGTCGAGCAAGTGGGCAAGTGGTGGACCAACTGCAGTACGTTCGCAGTACGAAAGGGGTTGATAGCAGTGAGTCCCCATCCAGTCAGCGGTAAGGTCCAGTCAGTCCCAGTCCAGTCCAACAAGTACCACAAGGGACTGTGAGCACCATGGGCCGATGGAAGAGAGCAAACCAACAAGCTTCAGAAGTGTAAATCAAGAGGCAACGCCCAGTCATTCATTCATTCCTGCGCGTGCCATGCGGAAGCGCTGCCACAACGACTTGTGCAAGGAGGTTTGCAGTGAGCCTGGAGCCGAAGTGGGCGAGAGAGAAGGAGTGTAGCTTAGAGATAGGGTAGTTGCGGCCATAGCCGCCATAGCTAGAGTTAGTGTGGTGTGTGTGTATGTGTGAGTGTGGAGTATCACGTGTGGGATATCCAGGGTAGCCCGGTGTATGCGAACAGAGAGTTGTTTGGGCGCTGAGTCGTCGTAGCCATCGAAAGTGAACTTGTATCTGGACTGTGTTTTCGGCGACCATATCTCTGAGTTCTGTGTGGGCGCTTGTCGCCAGTTGGCTGCACTACTGTTTGCATGCTTGTAAAGTGTGAATGAAAGCGAGTCTGATTGCATTGGTATCGGAGTTAATATCCGTTATTCCACGCGCGCGTGTATCGCAGGGAGGAGGTGCGCCATAGCTGAGGTGGCCGCCACGAGGAGAAGTCCGCCATAGCAGACCGAGAGGTTGAAGAAGCCGCCACGCACCTGCAGAGAAGACCACGACGAAGACGAAGACCGAGAGAGAGAGAGAGAGAGAGAGAGAGAGAGAGAGAGAGAGAGAGAGAGAGAGAGAGAGAGAGAGAGAGAGAGAGAGAGAGAGAGAGA